GAGCCCTGTCACAGGGTGCGTAAATATTTATTATAGTTATGTCCTCCTGGTGTATTGACCCTTCAATCATTGTATAGTGTCCTTCCCTATCCTTTGTAGTGGATTTTTCTTTAAAGTCTATTTTGTCCAAGATTAATATTGCCACTAGGATGGAGTTTCTTGGCCATCATTCAGTAAGGAAAAATATAAAGCAAATCACAGAATTCTAATTAGCACATACAATGAATAAAAAAGAATGTCCATTATCACACTTAAAAAACACGACAAGAAGTCAGTTGAGCTCATCTATGAAAGCAAGTGTCTGGGAGATTATGATGTAAGTCAGTACCTAAGACAATGTTAAATAATAGCTCCTCTCCAACAGATCTAGTGTTTACGTAGCAGGAGGAGCTTTGTACTAGACTGCTCTGTCATGTTCTTGCCCAGAAGGCTGTCATGATCAAGTTGATTATCAATTACTGCTCTACAAGTATAAGATAAGTTACGCTGTCATAATTTGCTCAGCCAGAGATCCTAAACTGTCAAAGAATGTCAATTTTTAATCTGACACAGAGAAGAAAATTATCTGTTATTCTGACCTCTAATTTCTCGACATTTTAATGCCATAATTGCTGCGGTTAGTGCCGCTTCATGATTTCACCTGCCAAGGAAGAATGAATCAATCACCTTAAGCCCTAGCTCAAATGTGAGCACTAATTTCAAAGCTGAAAGTTAAAGGCAGACTGGGAATATTTTTTTGACAATGAAGACATATGTAGATATTCGTATATTAAATATTCCTTTTTTTAAAATCTGTGTTTAATTTAAGCATTAGAAAGAAAAAGTCTTCCTCAGGCTAGTGCCAGTGTAGTATAAAACCATAAGATAACTATACCTAGCCTTCCTTTGTTTTTTTCTATGTGAAATGTGGAAATCTGAGTGTTTTAAAAACACAAAGATGAACGTTAGCAAGTAAAAAGAATTTCTTGAGTTCAGTAGAAGGGTTAACATTTTGAACCGTGGCTTTGCCAAGAGCTTGTGTCTGACCATTCAGGGCGGTATTAGCCCCTCCAAGTCACGGCAGAGCAATGCATACCTCAAGGAGCTGACCTCAGTGTTCTGATAAAAAAGGCACTGTGCCTCCAGGTGGCCTGCTCACAGGGCAATCTATATCTGAGGGGCATAAATGACCACCAGATCATGATATCCCATTCCATTATCTATGAGTCGGAATCCACTCAATGGCAACAGGTTTTTTTTTTTTTTTTGTTTATTCCATTATGTACAGGGTTCTTTCTTGTGCCAGCAGATGCTAAATCCTTTAATCCTGGAGAAAGAAAACCCAAACCTGCTGCCATCGAGTCAATGCCCACTCATAGCAACCCTACAGGACAGAGCAGAACTGCCCATAGGGTTTCCAAGGAGTGGCTGGTGGATTCAAACCGCCGACCTTTCGGTGAGCAGCCCAGCTCTTAACCACTGCGTCACCAGGGCTCCTGTTGGGGAACACATGGTATTTATTATTCCTCCTTTAAAGAGAGGAGCCCTGGTGGTGCAGTGGCTAAGCACTCTGTTGCCAACTGAAAGGTTAGTGGTTCGAACCCAGCAGCCGTTCTGCGGGAGAAGGATGTGACCTTCTGCTTCTGTCAAGATGACAGCCTTGGAAACCCTGTGGGGCAGATCTCCCCAGTCCTGTAGGGTCGCTGTGAGTCGGAATCGATTCAACAGGAGCAGCTTTTTGTTTGTTAGTTTTGTTTCCTTTAAAGAGAAAGCAAGGTCCCTGGGTGGCGCAAACGTTTGCGCTCGACTATTAACCTAGATGTCGGTTTGAAGCCACCCAGCGGCAACCCAAAGAAAGGCCTAGAGGCTGGCTTCAGTGAAGATGACAGCCCAGGAAACCCTATGGAGCAGTTCTATTCTATAGCACATGGGGCCGCCATGAAGCCGGAATCGACTCCACGGCAACGGGTTTGGTTTCCGGTTTAGAGGGAGCGACTGAGAGAGAGTGAGATGCAATCATCTGGCCACATTTAGGTAACTCGGGACTGAGCTGAGCTCTCTTCCGTCACAGGGCACGAAGCTTCAAGTTCTCCGTGTTAGTGCTTAACCACTGACTGCAGCCCTTGTCTTGTGGGGATCTGGGAGGTTGACACACAAGTGGGGACGCAGTGAGGGCGTGGGGAGAAGGGAAATGGAGATCACCTCATCTGTCTACACAACGTTCAGTGGTCCCCTAGGGGCCTCAAGGAGATAAAGTATCTTCCTAAGCAGTCTGAGTTGACACAGATCCACGGGTCAGGACACGCATCCCTGCTGGTTTGTGCTGGGGCCTGTGCAGGCTGTGGGAGGGAGGGCAGGTGATAGTGCCCCCGGGCCGTGCGCGCTCTCACACCTAGCAATGAGAACTGACAGAGTGACCAGGTAGACAGGGAGGGCCCAGAAATGACAGAGTGATATGGGGTCTCTCCAGTGGAAGCTCAGGACACAGCCACATGTGCTCAGACTGAGGGTACTCTCAGGGGAGACTCTGGCACCAAAAGTCTGTCACTGTCAGGTGATCAGGAGCCTCATATAACATACTGTCCAGAGCGTTTGTCTGTTTAATAGGCAAACATTGTGTTTGAACCACTCCACCCAACAAAAATAGATTTTTGAAAATTATACATTTTCATGTAATGTTTCATTGGGTAGCAGTACTATTTGACATTAAGGCCTATAAACCATAAAACCCACTGCCACAGAGTGGATTCTGACTCATGGCGACCCAATAGGACAGAGTAGAACCGCCCCACAGGGTTTCCAAGGATGACATCTTTATGGACATAGATGGCCACATCTTCCTCCCATGGAGCCGCTGGTGGGTTTGAACCGCTGACCTTTCGGTTAGCAGCCGAGCACTAAACCACTGCACCAGCAGTGCTCCTCAGTTAAGGCCTCTGCGTACTTGTTTTTCATTGTCCAAGCAACGGTGCATAATTTGTAGAAGCAGATATTTTATAGGACTCACATAAGAAACACTACATCCCTGTAAAGAAAGTCTCAATCCTAATTTCATGATTTTTTAATTCTCTCATTTATTTCTTCTTTTACTCTCATTTAAATATAAAAATCTTGCTATTTTTCTGTGAATTTTGATGATGCTTTGCACTTTCATCATATACAAAATACTTAAAATACTTATAATACGTGGAACAAGACTATCTTGCAAATTTCTTTATAAGGAAAGAACTTTATAATGAATTGAAATATATAATAAAATGTTCAGGAGCAAAACTGTCCATGCTATTGAAAAGCCAAAAACAAACAAAACCCATTTGGAATCACCCTTGGAATATAAGGATAAGCTATTCCAATTACCTTCTTTTTTCTGATTTGAAAAGATACTGATTCTATGAGGAAAATTTAGTATGTAAGGTGTTGATAGAACTGGACATGTTTTAAGAAAAGATGTACAGTTAAAAGAATAATTAAGCTCAGAATTTTCTTCTACAAAGTAATCTGATTACAGTTTTACCCACTTAGGATACTGAGTTAGAGGGGTGTCCTGGTTATGGGGAGAGAATCCCCCATCTCACCAAACAACTCCGTAGCATTTGGCTCCCCTCTCATTCATTCACCGTCTGCCTCTACTCTCTCAGCTTCAGGCAGTAATTCCATTTCTTTGTGCATACAGTATGTACACTACTGCCCCTAAGAATGTGCTTGCAATGTGTTCTCTGAATACTTAGCCCTAAGGGTCCATTCTATGACCCATGATCATAAGGTTCTTCTTTCCCCTTTCCTCTTCTCTGCTTGGAGCCACACAGATGCAATAGTTTTATTTTTATAGAGGTGTATAAGAAATAACTTCATGAATGTAAATTTGTTTAGTGGTGCTTCATTCCCCCAATAGACAAGCTTTCCACCTCTAAAATTTAAAAAAAAAAAAAAGTCTAAAAACAGCATTCCACTGCCTGGAAATGAAGACGCGATTGCTTGTTTTGCATATAGCAGATGGCAGTTATACGGTGGAACAGAAGACCGGGATTTAGCTTTCTTGAAGCAACACTTATCTGGCAGCTGCTGCACTGAATTTTCACCTACCTGAAATTGTTTTCTGCAATGTGGAAGTGATTTAAATAAATAATATTTCATATGAATATTTTCACTAAAACTACACATACATGTAATAAAGCATATACTTCCCAATAGTTAGCTGTAAACATTTAAGGATGAGAACATAAGAGAGTAAAATACTATAACCTCATCTATTTTATTGATGCTTTTTTTAGTATTCTGTCTAGAAGGTTGCAATTTTGCTTTTTTACAGTACACTGACAGATTATCTTAATGTGAAATACTAATATTTAAATATTCAACTGTTTTTGGTGCCGTCAAGTCAATTTCAACTCATAGCGACCCTATGTGACAGAGTAGAACTACCCCATAGGGTTTCCTAGGCTGTAATCTTTATGGGAGCAGATGGCCAAGTCTTCTTCCCTTGGAGCTGCTGGGTGGGTTTTGAACCATCAACCTTTTGATTAGCGGCCAAGCAATTAACGGTTGCACCAGCAGGGCTCCTTAAATATTAATAACATACATAATGCATTAAGCATTTTATTGACAATTCTGAAGTAAAACCCAATAGGAATATTGAGGTACATTATGCACCACTGTAGTTGCAGCGGTTAAGCGCTTCACTGCTAACCAAAATGTCGGTAGTTTGAATCCACCACCCTCTCCTTGGACACCCTACAGGACAGTTCTGCTTTGTTCTATAGGGTTGCTATGAGTTGGAACTGACTTGACGGCAACAAGTTTGGTTTTTATATAAGTGTACAACTCAAAGAGGAACACCATACTGGTCTCATTACTTGTTTTGACATATAACATATTCATTTTACCATATTTGACAAGAACCTGAAATCTATGTTTTCTAAAAGTTATGTTGAAAGGCAATGTACACAGGAAGAGATGGGAAGTCAAATTTGTGTTTGAGAGATGAGAGAAGTTTCAGGAATAATGCAGTACTCAACACCTACCTCCCTGAGCACAGGATCAGTGATGCTATCCAGGTTCACAGAGCCTTCGTACGTTAAGTAGTGGAAAACGTTCAGAGCACGGACCGCTTCCGGCCCTCGCTGCTTGTAGCCAAATATGAGGTCAATCCACTGGTGGAGTTGGCAGGACACAAACTCACTTTCCAGGGCCTGAGATGAGTCAAGAAAGAATGAGAGACCGTATAAATTTAGTTGAGCTTCACATCATTTTCCTACTTTGAAATGTTCTATATAAAGAAGGAGAATGTGCTCTTTCCATTCCTGAATGTGATCTATATGTAACAGATCTTCTGATCCTGGAAATCACAAGATAACACCTCTAATAAAGCACAGAGTCAAATGTAAATGCTCTTCTAAAATGTTTAACTTTCTCTCGGCTCCATTAAGTACGTTGTTGTTGTTGTTGGGTGCTGTTGAGTTGATTCCAACTCATAGTGAGCCCATGTGACAGAGGAGAACTGCCCCATAGGGCTTCCTAGGCTGTAATGTTTATTAGAGCAGATCACCAGGTCTTTCTCTTGTGGAGCTGCTGGATGGGTTCAAGCCATTAACCTTTCAGTTAGCAGCCAAGCACTCAACTGCCATGTCACCAGGGCTCCTTTCCATTATATGTACAATATATTAAATAAATTTCTTACAAAAGGGCAGTATTAAAAAAAAATTTGAAATAACTGTTTCAATACCATTTTACAATAATTATTTTCACTCCTAAATTTTAAAACTAATACAAAATGAAACGATTTTACTAGAAAATCGGATATACATTTATCTTCCTCAAACGTCCTCAAACTCACCTCGAACACTAGGAGCAGGGAATACCTTCCTTCTGCTGTGAATTAATGTTACTACTGTGCAGTCTGGCCATCACTGGGCATCTTAAATGTTTGCCAGCTAGTGGGAAACAAGTGTAAATTACTGATAGTCGATGCCCATACTAAGCTTCCTAAAGTCAGCAGAGAGCTGTTCCATGTCCTAAGAATCCATCTTTTTCAGCTTCCTGGTAGCATGTGAACACGAGGTACGGAGTTCTGTCCACGCTTTTATCTGAGCATTGACAGTGGCCCCTGCTCACTACACCTCACACTTCTTGCCTGCCTTTGTCATTGATTTCTTATTGACTGAAAGATGACTCGGATTTAAACAACGTGAACCCAAAGTTGTAGATCTAGCTTCATAAATTTCAACTATCCATAGGCATATAAAACAATTGTCTAAATTACAGTTGTAATTACATTGCTTCACATGAATGATGTTATCTGTCTGCGTGTCTATGGTTTCTAAGGTGTAGAACCGAATTTGGAATCCACTTAAGTAATAAATGAATTCTGAAATTAGCACTCTGAAAACTGTATTTCATTTTTCAAAGATATAGAATATTCTGAATAATACTTTTCAACTCTTCCTCTGATCATGTGTAACTAGTGATTTATTCTTCCCCATCCCTTTCTTGGTTCACTCCTTTCAAAGTTTTTTTTGTATTTTATTCACACGAATTATTGTGGATGTTTCTCATTCAGAAATGTAAACAATTAGATTTTATGGAAGGATAGAGTTGTTTTTCATATTTTTCTTACTAAAACTAAGCAAAATTTCTATATTCTATATCTCATTGATCTTGAAATAACACTTGAGAATAAAACATAGAAAATGAGGCAAGAATGCAAAAGACAAGATGCTGGTTAAATTTTTATATTGGGTATGTCTGTAATACTGGTTTGGTCAGTTAGTAGAAGTGATTTTGTCAATTTCTTACAAACTAGTCAATTAAGAAAAAAAGTTGTTCTAATTATTCAACAATACTTTTAGTGCCTGGTACAACAAATGAAGGGATGAAAAAAAAAAAAAAAGAATGACCCTTTATTACTGAATAGCCATTGTCAAGTCTATTTACAGGAATTCAAAATATTAATAAAATCAGATATATTATTTAAAAGATGATTTTATCAATATGAGCAATTAAGCCATAAACAATTTCAAATAAATCTTACGGATAATCATTAGACAGTAACTGGTGTCTTTTTTTTTGGACATACTTGGTAGGAAAAAGATAATTGATGAAATTTACTATTATTCTGTTAGATTAAAACCATTATTGAATAAAATGCTTAATGCAATCACGAGGGATGGAAAGAATGATGACTTTTCACTAATTTGACTTTTTAAAATTTATTCTCTTTCATCTCTGTTCCCTACTTCCATTTCCACCCACCACAGGCAACAAACGCAATGTGCTTACTGTCTATCCTTCTGTTTGCATGTTTTCTTATAATACATTATTTGCTTGTATTCTTTCTTTGTGTATTTTTTATGTATGAATTTTTTATTTATAATACAGGTTTCTTCTTTTTCTCACTTAGCTTTGCTTTTAAGATCTATCTATGTTGTTATGTGTGTACTAGTCCATTGCTTCTAATTTATCAAAATAATTTTGATTGGGATTCCAATAAACTCATAGATTAATATGGGAAAAATGACATTAAATTTTCCCATCCAAGATCCCAGAATGTCTCCTTATTTATACAGATCATCTTCTATGTCCTTTATTAGGGTTAAAAATTAAAACTTTCTCCACAAAGGACATAGGTATTCTTGGTTAAGTTAATTCCTGATACTTCATAAGTTTTGGTGAAATTTTACCATCTCGAAAATTATATTTTCTACTTGGTTATTGATGATGTAGAAAAACATTATTGATTTCTGGAAGTTGATCTTGTATCTGGAAACTTGCATTAGTTTTATCTATAACTTCTTTATTTTTCTTACAGAATTATTCTCAATCTTGAGAACTATATAAAACAGTAGTGCTGATAGGCGGCATTCTTGCCTTGTTCCTGATCTTAAAGGATTAAATCTCACTTAGTGTTGATGCATTTTACATATAACACACACACAGACACACATATATAAAACGCATCAACACTATACACACACACGTACTCCTTAGTTATTGACTATTTCGTTATCCGACATTTCACATTTACAGCAAGGGTAAAAAACTACTATCCGACTATTTTGTGCATTAACGATGTACATCTGGCAGTAAAGAACGCCAAGGTGCGGGGTGAGAAATGCTGGCTGTGATGGTTAAGGTTATGTGTCAACATAACCTGGGCCGTGTTCTCAGTGGTTTGGTAGTTCTTTAATGATGTAATTTGGCAGTTATGTAATGATGTGGTCATCCTCCATTTTGTGATCTTATGTGGTTATCCTCCATTTTTGCATAACGTCAATTTTCACAGAATGACCTGGTCTTTGGAACCTAACCATGTCAATGAGTGAGGGGTGAGTGTATATACATACACACACACAACCAGTACACTGTCGGATTGTTAGATAATACTTTATTTAGAATTTTGTATTTACATTCTATATTCATACATGAAATGGGCCTATTCCTTTTTCCTTTCTTTTTTAAAAATATTTTCCCTTTATATACTTTTGGAATTATTATTACACTAGTCTCATAAAATGAGCTAAATGGCTTTCCATGTTTTATGGAGCAGCTTGTATAAGAAACAAATTAATTATTTCTTGAAAATTTGGTAGAATTTTGGCCTTGGATTTCTTAGGATGGACAGAATTTACCACTGAAATTAATTATAAGTCTCTATTTCTTGTGTTGCCAATTTTGACATTTTATATAATATATATATATTTTTCTTAGAATTTATCAATTTATGATGAAATGGATAAAAACTTACTAGTTCATAGCTGTTCATAATAATTTTTAATTACATTAAAAAAAACCCTATTACATCTATATTATTTACCCTATTCTAATCTACATATTAAAGAGATAGAATAATGAATCAATAAACAATTAATTGTAGTTAAATATTTTTTTCTTTTTAAAAAAATTCTTAGAATAAAATTAAATGACAAAGAAACAATAAGGTAGGAGGTTAAGTAGATAAAGTCTAATAGATTTTCTGTCTTGTAGTGACTGTGCAGACAGAAAATAAACCAGTTTCGAACATTTGGAAGCTAATTCTGGTTCTAAATCAAATGCAGATCTAAGGATCAAATATTCGATGTGAAATAATTAAAGCAGAACAATCTATCTAAAAGTCTGACTCTGAGATCACACTACAAATGGTGTTAATTTGTTACTAAATGTATGGTATCTGCTTACTTGCTCTTTTCAGAAAAATGTCTTCATGCACAAACTCATTTTGGATTTTGAAACAAGATTTTAGTACAAATACAATAAAAAATAAAGAAATACTTGATTACTAAGCTATTAGTGCTATAGTGGTCTTAATAGCTTGCTTTATCTCATACTTGCATATCTACAGGCAGAAGCAGTTGCTTTAAGCCTAGATAAAGCAATTCCCAATCCATTGCTTGACCCTGGGGAACTGGGAGGAAGGAAATAAAGAGTGATATTTAAACCACAGAGGATATCTCTTAGATGGATAATACTTATCTAATTCTAATTTCCATTTTGTCCCTGGGGTATTAGATGATAAGAGAATTCTTTCCTAGCAGGTTTGGGATAAAGCTTTTCTGAAACTTACGAAAAAGGACGAGGCTATTGGAATTAGCTGCGAGGAGACGATGTTTATTCCTCCTGAATTCTTTTACTTGAGAATCTTTTATTTTGAATTCCTGTTTCCTCGTCCAGACCAGAGCAAGAATATTTCCCACCCCTTTCTCTTATTGCCTCAAAAATCTGCTTTTTATAATAAATTTTTTTCTCTAAATAGAGTTGCATAGTAGAATAATATTGCTACTTTTTTTGTAGCTTCTATTCCAGCTTTTCTTCATGACTAAATTGAAGGTGTAGCTATTACCCCGTGAAAGACTCAATTATTTAAAATGTTTATCTGGGGGCGGGGGGAGGTTAACTTCCTCCATTATTAGATGGCTCACTGGGTCTATAACATTGTTGTTGTTAATTGCCATCAAGTCCATTCCAACTCATAGTGACCCCATGTGACAGAGCAGAACTGCCCCACTGGGTTTCCTAGGCTGTCATCTTTCCTCGAATAGATCGCCAGGTCTTTCTCCCACAGAGTGACTGGTGGGTTCGAACGGCAACCTTTCGGTTAGTGGCCGAGTGCTTATCCGTTGCTCCACCAGCACTCTTTTGGATCCATAACACAGAGGATTCTCCTCCATCTCTACTAGCCCCATTTTAGCTCTAGCTC